CCGGGGTGGGGGGGGGGGGGGGGGGGGGGGGGGGAGAGGGGGAATGAAATGAATGGGCCCAAAGAGTTGTGCTGATCACAGAGGATGAGCACATGACCCGGTTATAATCCACTGGGTCCGCAGTGCAGCACAACTTGAGGCCCTGCTTACAGCAATTGACTTTCTCACAGTCACATTTACTCTGTCAGGAAAACTTTTAACTCACCTTTCCACAATCTATGACAAACACCACATCATCAATCGTGATACTCGTCTCTGCAATGTTTGTTGAAAGCACGATCTTCCTGCATTTCATTAAAGATTCCAGTCAACAAGTCAGTCAATCAATCAAACAATCAACAAATTAAAAAACCCACCAATCAGTGAACCTGAGTTACAACTATGCATTGGTACAGAACAACAGGGAGCGGTATATAAAGAGGGCAAGCAAAGCAAACCATTCAGAGGAGAAACAAACAGAGAATCGGTAGCCTACACATTTACTTTGTGCAATAGTAATTTATGTATGCCAGACAAATGATATCAAAGCTGTGGAATGATGGGGACCTGGCCACACAGGTACTACCATCTTCAACCGAATAGAACACCCTGAACTGAAAGTCGAGCCAAATACAGCTATAATGACAGGACGCTCTATTCGGGTGAAGAAAGTAGGGCCCAGACACCTTTCTCTGTGCCCAAGGGTGTACGTTCGGACATCATTTTGGACCTAGCGGCAGTTCAGACTTGCTGTGTTTTATGAGTCTGTGTTCTGCTGATAAGCCGTGCGCTTGTCAGTTGGAGTTCTAATCCAAGTCTGTGCTCATTTGCTAACTCTGTCTCCCATGCTGTGGTTCTGTATCTTGGGCAGGGATAGGCTAGAAGATAGTAGTCCGAGACTAGAAACACGACTGAAATGTCCTCTGGGACATCCGTTAAAATTGGAACGAACAGAGAAGATTAGCATGGCCCCTGAGGAAGCATGACACTCACAAATAGAGAAATGGTCCCAAAAGGACCCCCCCAAAAAAAAACACGACTGGAATTTAGCTCTAGGAGGACATGGCGGAAACAGTATTAAGGACAGAGTCCGACAGACGTAGCAAAGGAATTTGGCAGGGACCCCGGTGGGGATTTAGGCGTAACACGGAGAGACACTAGAATCCGGTGGCAACCTGAGCAGGTCATCACGGTACCAGGACTATATCTAGTCAGGGTTAGGTGAGGTATGGGGCAGCGGATAGGATATCACTCTGCACGGCCAGGAGCTGGTCCAGAGAGCGGCCGACCAGAGGTGGAGTAGCTCGGGCAAGCAAGATTATATCATTCCGTGCAACGAGTAGTCCAGCAGCACTGGAACTTGGCCGATCTTCCTTTCCTCTTCCACCCTTGACCGCATCAAGATCTCTGTCTATTTCCATTTACACCTGATTTCTGGTTTGCCCATTTCCTTCTCTTTTTCTGGGGGACGTCAGTCCAGTTGCTTATCACCGTTAGGTGTCTAGTGCCACAAGGGCTAGGCTGACCCTTTTCTCTTATCTTCTCCCCACTGCCTGTTTTGTACAGAGGCAGTGGGGAGAAGATAAGAGAAAAGGGTCAGCCTAGCCCTTGTAGCACTAGACACCTAAACAAGGGGGGGCTGCTACGGAGCGCCCTGCCCCCAACCTTGACCCCTCTACCAGGATTGTTCAACTGGTCGGGAGGCTAACTAGCCGCACCCAGATATGCAGTAGGACAATCCCCAGGGGGGCATGGCGCAGGAGAGATGTGTGTGTGTGTTGGGGGTTGGGGTTTTTTTTTTGGGGGGGGGGGGGGGGGCGCATTTTAGGCAGTCCCTCAGGCCACATACCAAATCCTTAGTTGCTCCTTTACATGTCTAAGTCGTATCCAAATCATGCCAGCATCGCTTTCTACTTCCTATCTTTCCCCATCCCTTTCTCAATCTCGGCAACCCCCGGTCCCCGGGTGTTGGTTTAAAGCAGTCTGCTATTCTGACCCTACCTTGCCTCTAGCAAACCCATCCTAATGTTCCACCTGCCACTGTATGTACAACTGTAACAAACTTGCCCAACACATAAGCAAGCACTAAAGACACAATGTTCATAGAAGAGAAGTGGGAGGAACCAAACAGCGCAAGGGATGACAGAGAAGACATAGAGGCATGATCGAGGGCACACGACAAAAGACGAGGTATGTTTGAACCACCACAACATTCCATCAAATTGAATTCCAAACAAGCTAACAAAACCTGAACAAGGGAGAGGAGAACAGAGAACCCACCTCACACCCTCAGGCGGTCGCTGAAAGATCTCTCTCTGCAAACAGAAAACACAGTACGGTAAGCAAACATCTAAAGAGTTTGTCCTTGTTCTGAAAAAATGAACCACCATTTCACACGAGCCTAAGTTGCCAAAGCTGCCTTCCGAGGCTCGTGAACCCGCAACTGCACCTTTTCATGGTGCCTTCAACTGCCTTCCACTTTCACTACCGCCCCAGGCCCGAATCGAGAACCTCTTACCGCGCATACCGGTAAGAGCCGCCGTAAACTTCTTCGGGGAAACTGACAGTTCAAAGCCTGGTGAACCTCAACCATTCACTTGTTTACCCGTTTGAAAAAGTTGTTGCCTTCGGCTAACTGCATATGCATACTTGAGGAAGACTTCACTTCCAAAGTTTCACTTCTTCTGGGTTTAATTCGTAATGCAGGGGCCATGCTAATCTCTTCCGTATTGTTACAATCTTACCGGAGGTTGCAGAAGGAGAATTCCACTTGCACTTTCTTTTTCCTCAAAAGGGAGGGGAAAAAAGAGGAAAGGTCTGAAGCTCCAAAATTCAAGACTCGTTCATTGATAGTCACAGATGCATATCAACAGCCTAACAGGCAGCTACAGCAAAACGCCACTCTCGTAGATAAAGTCTGTCCCCAGTATCCCAGGAATTCCTCCTTTTTCCTGCCAGGAGAGAGTGCACATTTCACTATCTCTACCTTGTTCATGAAAGTGAACCAGGTTCCTGTGGAGAAAGGACGACAAGTTCTCAGTGGATTTGGGCTGTACCATACCCTCCCATACACCACCTCACCCCCCCCAAACCACCCCCCAACACCCTCATATCCCCCCAATACCCCCTATACCGCCCTATACAACCCCCCCCCTCCAGCAAGCACACTACAGCCCCAAACTCAGATGCCGACCAGTCGGCCCTACTGGTCGGCTGCAAAACGGTAGGCGGTCGCCAGCTATGCAACCCTGCTCTTGAGGTAATTCCTTCATTGCCCCTCAAAACTATACCTGAATGAAGGAACTCGATCTTGAAGCATGCATTACTCCCGAGAGTCGGGAAAAAAAAGTGGACGGTCACCCAAATGGGAACATTGTATGCAGGCACAATCTGCTCTCAGCAGTGAGATGAAATACTAAAATTTAATTGCACTTCAGTACATGATCCTGTATCAGACAAGAGCTGAACATCTTTCAGCTGGCTGTTCAACAAACATTTTCGATAATCATGCAGTGGGAGACATGTTTCCAGCAACTTCTCACGCTCTGCATTGCTAAGTCCTTTTCTTGTCCGCTCGGTCCACAACCTGTTGACGAGACTGTTCTTAGGGCTCTACCTTGGTGAGCGGCTGAACAGTGCACCCAAGTTCATATTGATAAACCGATTAGAGTGCAAGTTCTGAAGGATACCATACATGATAGGGGCTATCCTCTTTATGCTAAGTTTATGGAAACCAGCAACTTTTCACACTCTGCATTGCTACAAGTCCTTTTCTTGTCCGTGGTCCACGCTGTTGCTGAGACTCTGTTCTTAGGGCTCTACGTGGGTGAGTGGCTGACGCAAGTTGATGTCGACAAACAGATTAAGAGTGCAAATTCTGAAGGATACCATTAACGATAGGGGCTGGTTATCCTCTTTATGGAAACAACAAGGGGAAGAGAAGAAAAACAACAAGCAAGCGTTCCCATGCCTCGTTGAAGTTTGAACAGGATTCTTTTCAGCTCGCCTATCATTCACGCTGTCCCACTCGCTCATCAGTAGGTGCTTTTTCCGTTCAAACAGATGTAAACAAAAGCAGCTCCTAACAAAATTGTGGCAATGGTGATAAACCGTCAAAAACAATTGCAAATCTCTTAGACTCTTACTGCATTCTGAAACAAAGATAACGTACCTGGTTAATAGTCGGCAGAGAGCCGTGCAGTGGCAGGATTCGGATTCGATCCATATTTCCCAGAATCGGATGCACCTTGCACTTCTCCAGCATTTTAGAAATTTCATCCCATCCAGTCAAGAATACAAGAACAGCTCCATCCTACAATACAGAGGTGATGGGGGCATGTTGCACAAAGCTAGTGTTCAGTATTGGCGACGACGAGAGCAGTGAACCGGGTATTCAAGCAAGATATTGTGGGCATTCAAGGGACATTTTAGACCACATGACTGAACTCGCAGCCCGTAGTAAGGGAACTCAGAATGTGCGGCCAACCTAGTCATTCAACTCAACTCAGTCCCTGCTTCCTAATCATAACAACTAAGCTTCAAAGAAAAAAAACACAACCGATGCCATTGATCACGTTCATGTGCAATCACTCTACCTTCTTCACCCGAAAATAGCGCCCGGGCGTTATATTCAACTTACCCTAAAAAATGAGATTTTCGTTTTTACTCACTTTTTTTCAAATAGAACGCCCCTTCGAATAAAATGCTCGGGCGTTATATTCAAATAGAATGCCCGGGCGTTACATTCAAATAGAACGCCTGGGTGTTATATTTGAATGTTCCATGGGCAGAGTGCCTTGAAGAGGTAGTAACCGTAGTATACATGGGTTTTAAAGAGCAGGGAAGGGGGTATACATGGGGTTTTGACTTCGCAGGGGTATATTTCGGCTTGATTTTTTTTTATTTTATTTTTTAACTTCCGCCTTTATAAGGAATTCCGAAGTGACCCACAGACAAAAGTTGGTCGCATTGCAATCCTGGACAACATATTTTTTTTACAGAATTTTTTATTTTTGTTTTCTGAATTTTGGGGCCTCACCGAAGTTACCACAAATTTACTGGATATAACGCCCCCGCCCCCGGCGTTATTTGAATATAACGCCCGGGCGCGTTATATTCGTACACAACGCCCGGGCGCGTTATTTTCGGGTGAAGACGGTAGTCATTCACCACCTTGCTGTGTCAAACCAGTTCCAGCTCCCTAATCACGAGAATCAAGCTTCGGAAAAATAACACAGCCACACTGACATGGGAAGAAAGGTAAAATCATAGACAATGCACGGTTGCATGAAGGACGTCTAGAGGTAAAATCATAGACAATGCACGGTTGCATGAAGGACGTCTAGGTTCAAATTTATAGTCAGCCAGGCACTAGCTCCACACGCACACACACACACAGCTCCTGAGACAATGAAAGGAGGCTACTAGCTGTGCACATACGCAGAAAACAAATGGCAAATTCTTCAACGCTTTCGTCGTAGTTCACATAGATGAGAATGTATGTAGGACATCAACATTGAAATTTATAGTCAGCCAGTTACTAGCTACAAACGCACAGATCCTAGGGCAATCGAAGGATGAATACTGCCAAGAGTCATCATTGAGCCCCTTGGGTGAACAGGCCAGGACAAGCAGACAACTCAAAGACAGCGAGAGTGGACAGCAGAGGCAAAAATCTCGCCCGACAACTTGATTGAGGCAAAAATCTCACCCGACAACTTGATTGTGCGAAAAACGTGAAACTGAGTGAGGGGAAAGGGAAATGGAGTTATTTTACCAGCAGCTTTACCATCAACATAAGGGTGAATGCAGCCAGCTTGATACCAAGGTCGAGATCAACCTGTGGAAGAGGGATTTCCACCACACTCACCCTTTCATCGAGCATCAGAGTTCAGCATAGTCTACTGCACAATGGTCTCCTCCAACTTGGAGGTGATCACAAGATGCGCACTACAGGTTGAGAAACGGGACTCTGTACCAAGGAGATACAAGTCGTGCATACAGCTTGAAGTTTTGATTTTGATGACATCCAGGATGGGAAGCCCAGCAGCACCGAGTCAAACAATGACTAGCAACAAGGAGGAAGAGGAAGAGGAAGAGGAAAAGGAAGAGGGCAGAGGAAAGAAGAAGAGGAAGCAAGGAGGAGGAAGAGGAATAATAAGTGAAGCAGGAGTGAAGAAGAGGAAGAGGAGGAAGGGGCAGGAGGAGGACGAAAAGGAAGGTCCATGACATAATTGACATTGTTAATGACACTGGACCCCTAATGTTGAAAATGAGTGGAGCGATACCTCTTCTTTTTGGCAGATGTGAACAAGAGTTGCCTCCACCTACAACCAGATCATCACAAAATTGGGAGGAGAACATAATACAAGGGAGACAATAAGGTAACGAGATATATGAAATAAAAAAGGCTACAAAGAAATGCCACCAGTGGCCTTATGCACTTCTCATCATAATGCTTGTGAGAACCAGAAAGCTTCAAAATTGAGTTCTTTCCCTTGTTCTGCAGTCGTCAACAAATTAGTTTACTATTTACTATTTAGTATTTACGACAACGACATAGAGAAAGCCAAGTGGAACAGAGTCCTGATCTTCCATCGCATAGTCCAATGGCCAGGACATGTGAAAGAAAGAATGCACGGCTCACTTTTCCAGCCCACAAGGTCTGGGTTTCATCATCTGTGACTCCCTCTTTTGTTCTGCTTCCCCCACTTGTCCTCCTCCAACAGCCCCCGCCCCCCCCCCCCCCCCCCCCCCCACGACAATTAAAACATGCAGAAAGCCATTTGAAACCCCGTCCTGAGCTTCCCAAAGCAACGTCCAATAGCAAGAAAATTGTGCACAGCTCACATTTCCAGTCCACAAGCTCCGCGTTTCATCATCTGGAATTCCCTCGTTTGTTCTACTTCCTCATTTCTCTATGGTTTTGTCCCCCACTTGTTCTGCTTCCACCGCCCGCCCTGCCTCTTCCCCCACTTGGCAGAATGGATGTCACCGCTGTCGAGTCTAGATTCAACTGTGTTTCTGTTTGTTGTTTTTCATTCTTTTGTTTTGAAGTACGTGCCCTGCCAGCGACGCAGGGCACTATCCACGGAGTGCTGAAACGCCCTCAAGCAGGGCACACTCACACTACCTACTTCTTACAATGCATCCAACCGAGCTCCAGTCAAAAGTGTTGTTTATTTTTTTATTTATTTTCCTCACAATCTCATCCTGATGACGTGGCTGAAAGGCGCTCACACAGGGCACAGTCACACTACTACTCAGAAGAATGTATTTAACCATGTTCCAGTCCATAGCGTTGTTTCCTTTTCTTTGTTTTCACTTTCTGATCCCCTGATGATGCGGCTGTAACGCCCCGCTTTCTGATCCTGACAACGCAGTTGTTTCTTTTTTTTCCTTCTTTTTTTTTAAAGAACTGCCGCTGTGAAGAAAACAAATTTTGCTAGGCTGGTCGCCGGGCCGCCCGGCGACCTGGTAGTCGCCCGGGGTGGGGGGGGGGGGGGGGGGGGGGGGGGGGGGGGGGGGGGGCGTTTTGGACGGGCGGGGCCTTCTTCGCCCCAAAGGAGGCCGTCCAGCCAACAAAGTTAAAAAAAAGGGCCGGTAGGCCCGATTTCAAGAATTTGAAATCAGGGCCCAACTGCGCCGTCAATCTCCAGGATCAACGGCCCGGATGGGCCACGATATCAAATCCCTGAGGGCGGGAACCACCGGCCCTCGTCCCCTCCCCCGTGACCTCTCCCGCCCGACGCCACACTTCGACAGGAACTCCGCCAACGCCCGCCACCGCCCGCCGCCCGACGCCTCACTTCGCCCATCGCGCTGTCGCGCCAAGGTAAGTGGGTTAGTAGTAGCAGAGAGAGAGAGAGAGAGAGAGAGAGTCGCGCCAAGGTAAGTGGGTTAGCAGTAGTAGAGAGAGAGAGAGAGAGATCTTCTTCTTCTTCTTCTTCTTCTTCCTCTTCTTCTTCTTCGTCGCATTCTTCTTCTTCTTCTTCTTCTTCTTCTTCTTCGCTTCTTCTTGTTCTTCTTCTCTGCCACTGTCTCGTGACCCCCTGCCCCCCATCCTCCACCCGTCTCGTTCTCCTTCTTCTTCTTCTTCTTCGCTGCTGCTTCTTCTTCTTCTCCTCCTCCTTCGCTTCTTCTTCTTCTTCTTCCACATACACACCTGCAAGGTCTGTGACATACCAGCACTGACATCCCCCAAACCCCCCGTTGACATCCCTCCCCTTTCAAAAAAAAAAGAAAAAAAAACCTTGCTGTGTTTTCGCGTCGCCCGGTTCCCCGGGCGACCCCCCCCGGGCCCAACCGGCCGGGGCCCAACCGGCTGGTCGGCGGCCCAGCCTAGAAAATTCGTACGAGTACCACAAAAAAAAAAATTTGAATGGCGACCCTGGCTCCACAACACTCGGCGTGCAGTGAAATTGAGGGTCGGTGAAAAGAGGATCGGAGGTAGTGGTGGTTTAATGATTGTTTGAGCTTTTAAGGACAAGGCCGAGGGTATTTCAGAAACTTGTCCAGACACGGACTTATCTGCGAGTACCGCCAATAGCGCGCATTTGTCTGCAATTTTCCAAGGACTAAAGTCCTGAAGTTTCTGGTACTCCTGCCGCAGGCCGAAGGCACAATCGAGACCCATTGTGACCAGTTGGGACCGAAAGAGCTTTCAAAGGTCTTTCTCGGGCCTGGTTCTTGACAGCCACTGGTGGCTGCGCCTGGACAGGCGCAAGCTGAAGGAAGGGCCCGCGGCCTGCCAGCGCCAGGCTACAGAAACGACCTGCCTCCAATGCTTTTGGACAAGACAATAGCCACTAAGCTGCCAGACTTCTCGCCGCTTTCCTCGCCACGAAAGAGCAAATGACTCCTGGCTTGGTGAGAGCCACTCTCTTTCCCCTGCGCTGCTGCTTGGATGTAGAAGAAGGGAGTGGCCTAGTTGTTTAGCTTATGCTGAAGGCCGGAGATCAGTGCTTGAGACTATAAGCATTGAACTACGTAGGCATGTGTCGCAAGGTCGGACCAGGGGTTGGCAAGTTGCCGATTCGTTAGTGTGGTAGTCGCAGAGTTTGACAGGAGAATGCGGCAGACAGCATTGAGTTAAGGCTTCAGCCATATTTCATGCGGCAGACAGGATTGAGTTAAAGCCTCAGCCATATTTCATCATAGGATCATGCAGTGCAACAAACAATGATAATTAACTTTAACAAGACAGAGACGATATGAATTTGCAGGCAGAGTTACAGTCAGGAGGAGCAGCAGCACGAAGTGGGACATACCTCTCAGTGTAATCCTGCTCTCTCGTTATGAGATCGGCCGCTTTATGTTTGAGTTTTGGCATGCTTGGTACGAGTTGACAGGTGCACGGATGGGAATACACTGAACACCCTCCACCAAGGTACATGGTTCATAGGAGTCCAAATCAGTGTTGCACACCCCGACCGCCGGCGGCCCCTGACTGGTCGGCTGCCGACCCGCCGACCGGTCGGATGGTCAGCACCTACCGGTCGAGGATCGTCGGCACCCCGCAAAATTTTTTTAATTTTTTTAAATTTTTTTTTTTGGGTCCAGAACCCCTGATAACCCCACGAACACACCCATACCAACCCCAAATACCTCCATACCCCCCCGAAACATCCACAAACCGCCCCCCAACACCCTCATACCCCCCCCCAATACCCCCTATACCACCCCTATACCCACCTATATCCCCCTATACACCCCCCCCCCACCAGACCGCCGACTGGTCGGCCCTGGTCGGCTGCAATATGGTCGGCGGTCAGCAGGGATGCAACCATGAGGAGAGCGCGGGGGGGGGAAAGGAGAGAGAGGTGAGAAAAAAAAAAAAGAGAAAAAAAGCACTCTAGGGTCCATCTAAACGGAGGTATGAGAAAATAGATTCAGAGGCAGCGGTAGTTCGCCTCGAGGTTGGGGCTATTATTTTGGGCAAAAAAACAAAACAAAACAAAGATTGCGGGCATGGTCAGCTCTCAGCTCCTCCGGCAGCTTAGCACACAGTGTTACCTGTCTCTTATACACATCTAGATGTGTATAAGAGAGCCGTACGCAGCAAGCGCAATACAGCTTCCAACTCAGATCTGAAAAACAATTACTGGATGGTTGTTTTCCGACTGGTCGGCAGACCGCCGACTGATCGGCCCTACTGGTTGGCTGCAATACGGTCGGCGATCGGGCTCAGCGGTCGGCAGGGATGCAACCATGGTCCACATAGCATATGATGCAAACATTCTGTCCACATCTAGACATGTTTTCCAAACTTTCAGAAGGATGTTCCATACATATAGGAGGCAGATTACTCACTAGGTCTAAGTCAATCTGATCTGGCTTCCATTCCTCGAGTGACCTCCGTGTACGCATGCTATACGATGCAAATGTTCTATCCAAGTCTACGGTCTGCAAAAGTCACGACAAAGCACAGGAAACGAACAGCGAAATAACAACCTGAACATCAACAGTCTGCAAAAGTAAGAAAAAAAAGCACAGGAAAAGAACAGCAAATGGCAGCCTGAACATCAGGTGGGGCAAGAAAACATAAGCTGCAGTCCCTCTCGCTAAGTCTGGTGGGTCAATGTTGGCTAGAAAGCAAAATGGATTTGAAGTTTGAACCTCTATGCTAAATGAACTGAGCCTGCACGTAAAGAAAAGGGAGATCCGACCCCCCAAAGGGTTTTTCCATCAGACAATTGTGACTGATCACTTCCTGTACCATCATACCAAAGCAAAAGCCACAGCTTTGCAACAGGCATTGCACATGCTTCTCTGCATGCATCCGATGGGCTATCGCACATTCCATCTCGCTTGCACCAGCTGGATTCGAAATAGCATTTGGAGTTGGAGCTTTCAGCATTTGCCCAAAGTAAGGCATCCACCTCAAGCAAGCACTTTACAGCTAAAGACGAATAACATAAACAAAGTCCAGATTGAAAACCAAGCAAGCATTCAGCGAGTGGATGTCCTGGTGGATTCATATCGAATTCCATGGTTCAGCAAATCTTTCAAGGTCCAAGTCCCTACCTACTGTTTCTCAACACATGAAGTGAATATTAGTCACCAACAGTGCATGCAATGTATTGTCTGTCCATCGATGAACATCTCCACTCCCACTGTTCCCACTTGATGGAACAATACACCAACGGCCGTCCCCCTTCTTCAAAAACTGTTGTGGGGGAGGGGCCAGCCGAATTCGAAATTTTGAATTCGGCAGGCCCTTCCCCCCCAAAAAAAATCAGAGGCAGGGCGCGGCCGGTTTCCCAAGTCACGCGCCCCGCCCGTCATTTTTGCCGGGGTGAGGGCCCGCCCTCCAAACGAAAACCCAATTTTTTTTTTCCCCCTACCCCTATTTTTTGCTGTGCGGGGCGTCACGGTGTGCTGTGCGGTGTGCGGCACTACGTGCGCAAATCGTGCGCAAAGTTGCAAACCGGTGCACCGTCGTGCATCGCAACTATGCTTTCGACTGAGAAAAAAAAAAAAAAAAGCATATCTTTTGACATGTTCAGACGTTCCCAGCAACTTGAAAAGAACTGAACAGTCGAAGAATTGTGACAGGCACACAGTAAAGGAGCTGGCTAGCTCAGTCTGTACACCCATCAACTGTTGAAATACAGACCAGAGTTCAAATTCCACTGGAATCAGATGAGCGAAAACAAATCTGAATTCACCTGGAGGCGGCTGGTTCCAAGATGATATATTTTGAACCAAAAAAAAAGAGGAGGAGGAGCGAAGCCGGGCACTTCCATGACTTTCTGTTCCGAAATGAGAGTGCTCAGCTGTCACCAATATACCAGGTGATTCAGCCAATAAACTTTGCAATGGGGCTGGAATGTGGCAGCCTTAACAGGAAGGAAGAGTGACACCCACCTCCCACAGCTCAGTAATTGGATCTTTCTTGCTGTCGGGCATCCTCCGCCTTCGTCTTCCTCCTCCCCCACCTCCACCAAACCCACCAGAAGATTGATCTACAATCGTGTGCCCTGTTTTCTCAAGTAACTCTTCAAGAAACAACTCTTTCACGGGGAAAGTGTAACCCTGCAAAAAGACACCAGAAACTGACATGTAGATGTCAGATCGCTAGACAGAAAAAACAAAAAAAAAGAACAGCCTTTGCTGACTGACAGCAAAGCATGCAGAAGAAATGCTAAAACATTGTAAAAAAAATTAAATTTTACTAAAAGTTTAAAACAATAAAAATCCTTCGCTGGCAACAGGTTTTCCCAAAAGAATTCAAACTGAGAACAGAACATGTGCCTGCAGATAAAAGTACGGAGCTTTCATTGGTTACCACGTGCTAATTTTTTATCCTTCGGCCGACCTTCGCTAATTTTTTTGTGGCCTGTGGCTCAAGGAGCGACGGGCATTTCTCAAGTGAATTTCATTGGTCTTTCGTATTCTTTACGCCTATGAACTTTTTTATCTTAAACCACCACTACCTTCGAGCTTTTTTTTTCCCGAGGCCGACTGCCCCTGTGTGCCAAGCTTTGCCGAAACGCCAGCTTGGCGGTTTTTTTCTTTTCTTTTCTTTTCTTTAGGCTGGTGCCGCCAGCAATTTCGGTCCCGTAGCACTCTGTTTATTCAAACTTCAAAGTCCTTGCCGAATGTTACATTTTCAGTTCTCGACGTTGCTAGGAAAGGTAGTGGTGGTTTAAGCAGTGCAGATAAATGGCAGAGGTTTTATGTACCCACATGCTTCAGCTGATGATGTGTTTATGGGATTCTGTCGTTCTAGTTCCTGACAAACTTTTTTTTTCTTTCTTTCTTTCTCAAATTTTCCTTGATATGCATTGCCTTTTTCCCAATCTGTCAAATTTCAGTCTTTGGCATAACTGTCATAACACCCTGCTGCTTTCTGGCTTGAGTGTAGTGAATGATGCTCGAACTAGAGATAGGAATCTTGTGAGGACAATGATAGATGATGGCACATGCCATTTGGAGAAGTTTCTCAGATTGCTCGCTTGGAATTTGGAAATGAACTGATGCAATGCTCCAACGAATAATCAAAAAGAAGAAGGAACACATTAACCACAAAGTGAGATGCAGTCCATTTAATATGGTCTATCTGATCATCAACCAATAAAGTGGTACCGAGACAATGTACCACCTGTCTGACAACTTTCTCCTCCCATCCCCTAGCTCTGATTCACCCATCCCTTGTTTACAAATGTTCCCGTCTACCCACAACGTCAGAAAAGAACCGCTTTGGATGATCTGAAAGAAACATGTGCCAAAGGAATGATTAATGCCAAGCTGGCGGATAAGCCAGAAGGTCGGTCGCTGGAATCAGATTGATGAATGAGCACACACCTTTGCTGCAAGACCCCACAGATTTTCCCTAAGAAGGAGAAGGGAGTTTGAAGGTCTCGAGAATTGCCCAGGAGGAGCGAGAAAGTGAGCTCCATCCAACACCATGTGATAACTCGAGGGAGAAAATGCAGCATAGAAGAGATGATCAGGGAGAAAAAGGCAGCATAGAAGAGGTGATCCAATAGAAACAAGTGGAGGAGCCCTTGCAGGACGACAGATGTCACACACATGGGCAAGAGAAGAGAAGCAGGTGGGTCCCTTCAGCACAAGTGTCGACGTATGGAGAGATCTCAGGAGCTACGAATGGATCAGAAATAATTTGGGGAGCCCCTCGTTGGTAAGGAGCCCCCTTTTGGTAACGAAGCGAATTTCGGAAGATGGGGGTCAGCAAAAACTTACAGTGCTGCATCAGAATACTTCACAGAGATGCTCTAAGGACACTGCAGACTCTTACCCTATCTAAAGATCTGTAACGCAAGCAGAGACTAAGCAGACCCTGGGCAATATCATATCCCAACGATTCACGCGCAAAATGAGGTCTAGGAAGCCGACCATGAGAAATGCATTAACAACCAGGCATGCATCGACAGCAATATGTGTGAGACGAAAAATGCTGAGTGCGGATGGGATACATGCTATCGCAAAGAGGATAAAGCGTTGAAGACGGTAATTAGCTGCTATGTGATTCATCGTGAAGATAGCAGGGAAATTTTTGGAAATTTTTGAAGTGTGAACGTCAAAGAAAAGAGTCAAATTGTAAAAAAAGCTCGCTCATCCATCAGAGGTTGTTGTGCAAGCCATCCAATGTCAAAACACATCAGTTCCACTTGCTTGAAGACACCTTGAACACAGTTTTTAGTTCAACCCCAATCTAGCATTGACTCTTTTTTTTCCATCCCTTTTTTCTTTTTCTTTTTCTTTGTTTTAGCATCCACTCTACATACTTGTTCTGGAGGATTTGAAAGAGAATGATTCAGAGAGCCAGTGTTGTGCAGGCCCTCCTGTCCAGTCCAATTGATGTAGGAGTATAGAGTGTGGCAACGAGAAAACCAAAAGATATGTGGTCTCATCTATTACAAGGCTGTTCTCAGCACAGCCCCCAATGCCAACGGCAATGAGAGACACTTCCTCGCCTCTTCTACTGTCACACCACGCTGCCCACATAAAAATGATGAAGCAGCCATACACTTTCACCATAACCAAACAAGGTAAAGAAAGAGAGGATGAAACCGAGGGGCAGAAGCAGCTAGCACACTTACAGGAATGTGTGCCATTGGGGCACCACCGAAGTAAGCAGAAAACAGCTCAGCATTAATGGTTGCACTCATCAAGATCAATCGTAAATCCGGTCTCTTGGGAAGAAGGTCCCTCAGGATAATTAGAAGAAAATCTGCAGTAGCCAAACACCAAACGTTGTTACTCTCTCTCTCTCTCTCTCTCTCTCTCTCTCTCTCTCTCTCACACACACACACACACACACACACACACACACACACACACGCGCGCGTGCGTACTCAACACATGCCTGCATGCACAGAGACAATCAACACACACACACACACACACACACACACACACACACACACACACACACACACACACAAACATTCAAAATATTACAAGCATTTAAAATTTCACATATAAGGTAAGACTGTTTCAACTCCGGATGTACTCCGCTGGGTGGAAAAGGGGCTGTTACATGAGACAGTTTGTAACACACACACACACACACACACACACACACACACAGCTTAGGGTTTAGTTAGCAATAAACTTTAGTAGGGGGAGAGATGGTCTTTTATGTTATTAGCACAATGCCTAGATGGTACCCCACATAACAGACAAAAGTTCAGATTCTCCTTGATACAGCACATGTAGAGAGACTAAGCCCTTTCTGAAAAGATAAACAAAAAAAAGAAGAAAATTAACATTTCATCGAATCAGTCAACAAGCAGGCATACAGATCACAGTGAGTGTTAGCAGCCGACCATGATTCCTTTTGGCAGGTTTCTTCCACCACGATCAATTGAGAGCAAAAGGAAAGCGAGAAGCAGATTGCAACTGACCTTCATTCATTCCTCTTTCATGAATTTCATCAACCATAACATGTGTAATCCCTGTCAAGGTAGGTTCTGTGACCTGCAAGCATTGTTTTCCAGCCAACATCACTGTTATGCCACATCAGCATACATCTTACACAATCTTCCATCAATCCAAACCAGGAGCAATTCACTTCAGGTATTCATCACCTTGTCACAACTCACCACACACCAGCAGGCACAAGGTAGGCAATCTAATAACCGCATTCTCTTCTGATGCTTCACAACCCATCATGCCACTGGTGTAACGACAAAACAGCACCACCCTCCCCTCTAGAGCTCAGGCCTTTTCAGGCCTTTTCCTCTGGGGAAAGGATACGACCACCAGCCCGTCTACAATGTTATAGGCTAGCATCCAAGACTCTCAATTTCATCAGCCCTTCACAACATATCGCACGTTGGCAGACAATGAGCTGGAAGCCCTGCGATCATCAAACCATCTCCGTTCCCCACACCCAGCATGAAAGTAGTCATATAAACTCCTGCTATAACTAACTTGTTGTGATCAGGCCACAAGCTGAAAAAAAAAGTTCAAGAAACGAGCAACAGGCTAACAGCAACATTACGCCAGGAAAGAAATCTCACTTACAAGCCGCCGTAGCAGAACTCCAGTGGTGCAAAACAAAAGTCGAGTGTTGGCACTTCTTTCCGACTCCAGCCGAATTTGGTATCCCACCTGGCACAAATAAGGACGGACCACAAGATGCCAATGCCTCAATCATTGCAAAATATGATACACCTGTAATCCACACTACCTGCCAAGCTCTTGGGGAGGATATGCTGGATGCCGTAGTCGAAACTCCCCTTGTGGTGATGCATCACATTAATCGACCATGACATTTGTGATGTGCAAGGTGGGAACGTCAGGCAAGGAATGTCATACATCCAGGTAGGACAGCCAGCCGTCCAAAATGGCATGCGAAGACGCACCTCTGCCCATGGTCGTCAGAAACAACCTCGACAAGGTTGCAATATTTGCCTTGAACATTTCGTTCTCTCAGCAGAGTTTCAAGCTTCGGCCGACACTTCCAGAAATACACTTAGGATGTGGCGGCGCTTCGCACCTTGCGGGTTCGATTCCCGCTCACACTACACTAGAAACGAAGAGCGTGACATGTGAAGATCTCGCACGCAAAACATAGCAGTCATGAAAGCCCCCATAAACTGAAAAAGCTAACTGGAAGGCGTGTGTGCTGAGATATACTTGCCAGCCGATACTTAATTTAGGAGCAGCATTTTGTTGACACCATGCCACAATCACAAGGAAGAGCCCAACTCTGACAGGTTAGACCAAATGTGTAGAATGAAGTGTGCATGGCCAATAATCATGGCCCTTGTTGCATACCTGCCTGGAACCCAGGCCACCAAAAGATGGAAATGACACTTACCATCTCTCTYTGTGTGTGTGTGTGTGTGTGTGTGTGTGTGTGTGTGTGTGTGTGTGTGTGTGTGTGTGTGTGTGTGTRTGTGTGTATGTCTGTATGTGTGTATGTGTGTGTGTGTGTGYGTSTGTGTACATTTGTGTACGTTTGTGTGTGTTTGTGACACTTTGTGTGCATTTGTGTGCCTTTGTGTGCATTTGTCTGTGCCTTTGCGTGCGTATGTGTGATATGTCCACCAAATGCAATCCTACAAAAAAGCAAGTGTGTGCGTTTGTGTGTGCTATGTCCACGAAATGCAATGGTACAAAAAAGCAAGCATACTGTAACAGAGTTATGAATTTCATATACACGTCTGCAGGTTAAACCTTGACAATCTGTCCAAGATGCACTGACATCCTTGGGAACACCAACTTGCCCAAGGGTCCCAATTCCCTTGAGAGAACTCGTCAACATCACTCACAAACACTGCAATCTCAGCAGAGAGTCAGGTTCAGATGCCAATCAAACAACCCGTCCAAGAAAATAAGGCTACCATGGCCGAGAACCTACTCAACTCGCACACTCAGCCAGCATGGCACAAGCATGAGCTACGTACTGCAAAACAGCACCCTGTCGATTCCACACCCCCTAGCAACACCCCTGTCCCTCTCCCCCTCCCCCTCCCTCCCGACACTTTGGTCTTTTGCTCCTTGTTTTCTCTTTTCTCCTTCTTCCAGTCGAAGAACCATCTACAGCTCGCTTCTGCTGTAAACACTCGATCCACTCACGCGATGGTCCAGCTCACACATTCCCCCTTTACACATGATGTGATTCAACACACACACACACACACACACACACACAAAAAAAA